AATCTGGTCTTTGCTTTAGTGTCCTCAGTACAGATTAATTTTATTTAATACCTGCACACGTTGTAGAGTCTTACTGTAGTTTAATCATTCTTATTCAGTGAGACTCTGCCTTGTATCCTCTACAGAATCATTTGATTTTTCTTATATTCTCTCTGCAATCTTTTTCCTGCTGTGCCAACAGTTATTTCTCATCTTACGAATCGTCACTCTACCTTACCTATTCAGCTATAATATTTTGAAATATGTTTTAAAAGGAGAAGTCAGAATAACTGATGGAATGTATGTCGTAGTTCCAGTGAATGCGAAATAATTGTGCAAGTATTAACCTATTACAGCAATGAATTAACTCTCAAATGTATCTGAATCATACAATTTGAGGGAGATTAATTACGGGAATGTCTGTGACGAGGACTGGACTACGGGCACTCTTTCTTCAGCTGACTTTATTGTTCTTTATTGCACAGCGTTTAGGCGAGCAGTAATGTTGTAGCAATGAAAGTAATAGTCTACGTTCAGATAACTGAGGATCACAGTCTACTAGTGAAGCAGCTGATGCCCAAAATAAACTTTGTTTCAAAAAGCAACAGTAACAGAATCAGCAGTAAGAGATTGGGCTATCTACTTAAACAAACAGGGGCCGGGCAAAAATGAGGGAGATTCAGTTGCAACAAAATAGTAACAGTAAAAAACTCCACTTTGAAATGAATTAAGGTCAACATCACCATTTGGATGCTTTTTAGAATGCCAAGAAGAAAAGCTCATGTTAAAGGCCAGTACAAACCTTTATCTGGAAATCTATTCATAAACAGGGCTATACATAGTACACAAGGTCACACATTTAGACTGGAAGAAAGGAGATTTCATCTAAGGCAAAGAAAAGGGTTTTTTTTACATTAAGAGCAATAAGGATCTGAAATGCTCTGCCTGAAGAGGTGGTTATATCAGATTCCATACAGAAATACTTGCAAAAACATAACATACAGGGATATAATTTCTAATTAGTGGGGTAATAGCTTCTTGATCCAATGAGATATCTGACTGCTATTTTGGGGTCAAGAAGGAATTTTTTTTCCTAGTTTGTTGCAAAATTGGAAGCGTTTCAGACTGGGTTTTTTGCCTTCTCTTGGATCAACAGCAAAAACATATGTGAGGAAGGCTGAACTTGATGGACGCAAGTCTCTTTTTAACTATGTAACTATGTAACTATGTAATGTACTCTGAGCAAGTGGTTATTTCCAATTGATGTACGATGTCAGAGAGGCAACCTAAAACCGCTGTTCTGTTTGGAAAACAAGGAGGGTGCATGGCTAGTAGACAGACAGAATTGCCTTTGATTAAGTGCTGATGCAAGCATGAAACATGGAAGGGGAAATAACAGTACATTTGCACTTTATATGCTTTTGTAGATGTTAGACTTTAGTATTTTGCACAAAAGTTTTTGGTCTAAACGGTGTGCAATTACCTTTTACATGAAATAATAAATGCTATGTTTTATACTTGATCATGTGTCCTGGAAGACTAGATTTTTCTATTTCTCTTGCTTTTATGAACACAGACCATGGTGTCAAATTGACCACAGGATGCTGCATTGAATAATAAAAATTGCTCCAGGGAGATAACCGGAGTTAGCACACCTTTTTGTTGTGAATTAATTTATTGGATTATGCAGTGAATAATAGACTTAGAGATTCATTGTGTTCTGAACTGCAATTAGTCCAAATATGATTGGTTGAATTCCTGTACTCCAAGAACAATTTGAATGCACATTGAATTATTTACAATATAGGTATCTAGCGCATACAGTTGACGGCAGCTCAAACACCCAAACAAGTCTCTCTGTTCTGGTCGAAAAGAAAATGTGTATGGTAGAAAGAGGGGGTAGCGCCTTGGTGTGGAGATAGAAGTAATTGTATTCTTTCTCTTTTACATACTTTTTACATACTTTTACATACTATTTTATACAAACTATACTACACTATATTTTGTTGTATTCTTTTTGGTTTATATATTATTTTATACAAACTATACTACACTATATTTTGTTGTATTCTTTTTGGTTTATATATTATTTTATACAAACTGTACTACACTATATTTTGTTGTATTCTTTTTGGTTTATATATTATTTTATACAAACTATACTACACTATATTTTGTTGTAGTCTTTTTGGTTTATATATTATTTTATACAAACTTTACTACATTATATTTTGCTGTATCCTTTCTGTTTTATATACTATTTTATACAAACTACACTATACTTTGTTGTATTCTTTCTGTTGTATATACTATTTTATACAGACTATACCACACTATAATTTGTTTTATATTCTTTATCTTTTATATATTCAACTACCGCTAAGACTACTTCTACCTCTGAGATCACATCAAGGAGCTACCCCCTCCTTCTACCAGTATTCATTGCACAATGGCCTAGAATGTTGATTATGATCCATGATTCTGAATTCTGACAGTGGCACTAAAAAAAGAGAAGATTTATGGGGAAACTTGTTAATGATGGTTATGGGACAGTGACTAACTGCTGATATTATTCATAGATCAAGCAAGACATAACCAATAGAGAGAAATAAATGAGGTGCAGAAAAAATATTTATGTATTATAAATGTAATAAATATATAATATATCAATATATATTAATTACTGTTCCTCTTGGTTTTTTTTTTGGTTTTTCCTCTATTGGTCACTTTCTTCTCACTTGATCTGTAAACCAAACAGCTCCAAAATCAGTGTACTGCAAAATATATACATACTAGTTATATCATATCAGATAGGTTTTGCAGTACAATGACTGACCCAGTTTAGTGTAATTTTGGTTCGTCTGATTTATTTCCCAAATCAGTTGCTGCTGAGCTGCTGAGCCGCTGAGCCAAACCAATATATGGCAGAAATGTGTCCATCCCACTATATATATATTCAGGAAAAAATGGTTTGGCCAAACTGAATTTTCTAGCCTTGCATAAGTCTAGTGAGTACTACACAAAGCAGTTAAGGCAGTCTGATTACTGTGTGGTTTATTCACTAAAAACTAATACTTATTTAGCATCCCCAGCTCTAAATGCGGCTATCTATTAATGTAGTGAGTGAATCCATTTAGAACAGAATCCTTAAAGACGCATGTGTTATGATGATGTAGTCCATTATTGGTCCTTAAAGGGTAAAACTGAGACCCCATGTTTACAGGAATTGAGAACACATGAAAAACTGTGTTCATTTTTGTACTTTTTTAAACTGTCCACAAGTTTTTAGAATATTTTATTAGAAGAGTTATAAATAGCTGCTTTGAAAATAAATCCTCGTGATTTGGCATGTTTAGCCATGTGTCACTATGAACTCTGTGATAATCACAAGAGACAGGACACATAACCGCAAATTTATATTGCAAAAAAATGTAATGGCTTTAGTGTTTGTTTTTTTATATACCGTATCAATAATAATGTATTACCGTATATACTCGAGTATAAGCCGAGTTTTTCGGCACATTTTTTGTGCTGAAAAACCCCAACTCGGCTTATACTCGAGTCAGTGTCTGTATTATGGCAATTTACATTGCCATAATACAGACTGGGGGCTGGCAGAGCTGTTACTGACCTCTCCTGCAGCTCCTGTCAGCTCTCTCCTCCTCCGCGCCGGTCCGTGCAGCACCTCGGTCAGCTCCCAGTGTAAGTCTCGCGAGAGCCGCGGGGTCATAGTGCGGCTCTCGCGAGACTTACAGTGTGAGCTGAGAGAGGAGCTGCACGGACCGGCGCGGAGGAGGAGGGAGCTGACAGGAGCTGCAGGAGAGGTCAGTAACAGCTCTGCCAGCCTCCCTCCTCCCCCCACTGAACTGCCAATGGACCACCAGGGAAGGAGAGCCCCCCTCCCTGCCATGTATCAAGCAGGGAGGGGGGACAACAAAATAAATACATTAATAATAAATAATAAAAATAATAAAAAAAATAAATAAAAAAAATAATAATATAACAAAAAAAAAATTAAAATAATATTTTTTTTTTTATAAAAATGCCCACCCCCCCACCAAGGCTCTGCAACACACACACACACTGCATTCATACACACACACACACACACACACACACACTGCATCACACACACAAACACTGCATTCATACACACACACTGCATTCATACACACTGCACTCATACACACACACTGCATTCATACACACACTGCACTCATACACACACTGCACTCATACACAAACACTGCATTCATACACACACTGCACTCATACACACACTGCACTCATACACAAACACTGCATTCATACACACACTGCATTCATACACACACTGCGCATTCATACACACACACTGCATTCATACACACACACTGCACTCATACACACACACTGCATTCATACACACACTGCGCATTCATACACACATACTGCGCATTCATACACACATTGCGCATTCATTCATACACACACACTGCACTCATACACAAACACTGCATTCATACACACACTGCTCTCATACACAAACACTGCATTCATACACACAAACTGCATTCATACACAAACACTGCATTCATACACAAACACTGCATTCATACACACACACTGCATTCATATACACACTGCACTCATACACAAACACTGCATTCATACACACACACTGCATTCATACACACACTGCGCATTCATACACACACACTGCATTCATACACACACACTGCACTCATACACACACTGCATTTATACACACACTGCATTCATACACACACTGCACTCATACACACGCACTGCATTCATACACACGCACTGCATTCATACACACACTGCATTCATACACACACTGCGCACTCATACACACACACTGCATTCATACACACACACTGCATTCATACACACACACTGCGCACTCATACACACACACTGCATTCATACACAAACACTGCATTCATCATATACACACTGTAAATAAATATTCAATTGATATAATTTTTTTTAGGATCTAATTTTATTTAGAAATTTACCAGTAGCTTCTGCATTTCCCACCCTAGTCTTATACTCGAGTCAATACGTTTTCCCAGTTTTTTTGGGTATAATTAGGGGCCTCGGCTTATATTCGGGTCGGCTTATACTCGAGTATATACGGTAAATGGTTTTTTTTAAACTAAACAGACTGCATTAATTTTTATTACAACATTATTTTTTGTTTCATGAAGAATCATAGAATTTTGTACATACTGCTGAAAATGTGGGACTTCAGTAAAATGTTGTGAAAGAGAGAAGATACATAATTGTAAACTGTATAATATAAGAATAAAATGCCATTGAAGGTTCTGGATAGATATCAGAACATGCTACAACACTGAAGAGCTAGTGGTTTATAAATGTCTCAACCCAAACTTGGCATTATTTTCCCCTAATACATTCTTCAGATCTATGTATCTTTTTCATTGCATATTTTAAAATTGAGATTCATGTTAGGGCTAAAATGAGGGCAAGGGTTTCTCTAATCTTAGAGCAGTATATATATTCAATATTGTGAGTTATACTCCTAGATCACATCTGTCCTTAGGTTAGCGCTTGGTTTTGGTCCTTAATGCAGCCCTAGTAAAAGTAAAATCTATCTCAATTAATTCCACTACACCAATAACTATTAGCTATTCACTACTCGCAGCCACACTTCGAACTTTCACTTACAGACTTTCACATTGCTCGAGTGACCAGGGTTCGGAGGGACCGTCCCAAATTCAAGGTTCTGCTCTGTTCCCTTGTGTCCCACAAATGGGAACACCAGAGTGATGTCCCCAATCTGCACCACGATCATCAGATGCACTCATACTGTGTTGAGTAACCTCAGAGCACTAAGACTATGAGAAGAGCATTTAAAGAACACTCTACACATGATTTGCCTTCGGTTGGGCTGGTCAGAGTGACTGTCTGTCAGCCAGCTGTGTCCTGGTACTTCCTTGAAAATCTCTGCACAATGCTGCTCTGATCTACTTATCCTCAATAATACACAAATAGGTCCCATCTATGCCAGAGACCTATGGCTAACCTCTGTTTGTACTCTACATCTGATGACTTAGTCCATTCTTATCGAACGTCCTTCCCTTCTCTGTTAGAATTTCATCCAATCTCCGCTCCTTCTTCAGGACTGCATATCAATTAAACTGTGAATAGCTTTCTCTCCCCGCACCCTGATTCCTCTCCTGCAACTGTCATCAAAACAAAACATTAAGCCCTCAGTGAATACCCTCTAGCATGTAAACTAGCTCATCGAGCAGGGCCCTCAATCCCTCTATTTCTGTTTGTCCAACTCATCTGGTTACAATTACATGGTTGTTAGCCCATCCATTGTACAGAGCTGCAGAATTTGTTGCTGCTTTATAAGTAATATTAATAATAATAATGCACAACCGACTGACATACTCCTTATTAGTTAGACTAACCCATTTTACAAGCAGGATCACCCATATCTGATGCCCCTTTCTGGCCAACCCACCTATTTGTCCAACTTCTATACCTCCTATTCTGGGACATACAGACTTTTCTAGAGATGTTTTATGAAATGCTCTATATTATTCTGTGAGACTTCCCCTAAATTGTAAATTCTTCCTCTTAAAATGACGCTACCACAATTAAACTATTGCTTAATTACCTCAAACCAATTATTTCTAACTACCAATCACATTCTTTTACTCTCTATCTGCTGTCTATATCACATAATTTATACAATCAATGTGGAGCATAAAACATTTTCATCTGATAATCTAATTTGCCTTCTGAATGTATTGCACTTTATTTTTGGTGCATTTATGCCCCAACTACGTGGAAAGCTAGACTGTTTGGCATGGCCTTGTAATATATAGGACTGTAAACCATATTCCTCATGTTATATATAATCCTCTACTTATTTTTTACTTTAATTATTGTGCAGAGTTTTGGCATGTATTGGAACGTTATATATAACCTAACAATAATTTAAAAGTTCCAATGAACCATGATTCAACTTTTCTGCAGTGCATGGTGTGAGATTTTTGCATAGTCCAAAGAAAATCATCCGAAAATAAAGGTCCTCATCAGACTCACTGAAAAGATTGGCCTTTTTCATTGTCCAACATGTCAAAATATATCAAATAAGATATAAACAACTGTAAATCAGTTTATCATAATCGGCCTCCTAAGACATCAGTCGATAAAAAATATGGCAGCTAAGGCAGTCCATATCATCTCATGGTCAATATAGTTTTCCCATATATTTAATATAATATCCAGTTGAGATATCATACCAATCATATATAATCCGTAATGCCATGTGTAGGCATGATAATATGATCAGTTGTGTTTTTGTGTGCATTTGACCTCTGAATATTCTACTTCCTCTTCCTCTGGAACAATTCTGGGTTGCAGATTTGAAAAATCGAGTGTCACATATTGCGGTTCTTTATCACAATTCATATATATTGAGTCATCTTCTGTTTTGGTGTCTTGGTCTTCTAGTTGCTCCTCTGGAACTATTTTGGGATTCTGTATAGGAAACACATGCCATTAATTGTGCCGTAACACAAAAAAATATATTGTATTTTAATATGTAAAAAAAAATGGCACCAACTGATAAAATTGTCTAACTTGGCCTGCCCAGTGACAAAATAATAGCCATGGAACAGCAACATGCATGCCAAGAGATTACCATGTGCATGTCAAACAGGGTTAGGGGTACCATGTGCATGTCAGACAGGGTTAGGGGTACCATGTGCATGTCAGACAGGGTTAGGGGTACCATGTGCAGGTCAGACAGGGTTAGGGGTACCATGTGCATGTCAGACAGGGTTAGGGGTACCATGTGCATGTCAGACAGGGTTAGGGGTACCATGTGCATGTCAGACAGGGTTATCCACAAAAGTGAGAATTCAAAGTGAACTTCAAATTTGAGGCCAAAGTAACCAAACTGGAGCACAGCTTACGTAGAGAATTTTTCAAATTCAACTTTTTTGGATTTAAATCTGAAATTCACTTTAAATTCTCACTTTAGTGAAGAACCGTGTTGTTTTGCACAACACCTCAGACAATGCAACACAAGTACATCAGACAATACAAAAACACTAATTTTAGACATGATACATGATTTTTCCAACTAAGATATAGGTTTAAGCATCAGCCAATATAAACAATTAAAAATGAGTTAAACAAACTGAAAATTACAGTAAATCCCAGTTGAAAAAGATCAAGATTCATAAGGCCCGGGACTAATGAAAGTATTTAGAAACTTGGGCAGAATAGATGGGCCGAATGGTTCTTATCTGCCGTCACATTCTATGTTTCTATCACATACTCTTAAAGCACATGTATTAAAATCTATATTGAAAACAGTTTACAACACTCTCCCTTGATATAGGCAAAATATATTAGTATGAATAAGGACCCCAGAAAACTATAATGCTCATAAGGAATTCTAAAATTACAAAGGACCTGATCCTTTTGAAAACCAAAGTGGCTCGGCCCATTCTCCAGGACAGTGAAATTTTATTTTAATAAATCATGTGAACTGGCCTTGATATATTATAATTTTCCTATATAAGATTAATACCGATGTAGCTCTACAGATATTTATGGTGGCCAGAATGGGCCAGTGATGTGATGATATGAGCAAGCCTCCTACTATAAGTTTGCTGTCTCTAACCCTTGAGCAAAATGATCGTTAAGTAAGCACATAATTAGTAAGTCCTCAAAGTATTACTTACGTGATTTGTGTTGCAATAGATTGCCTCTGAGTTGCTTACAATGGAAGTCTTCATGTTTCCGTTTTTTTCTGACAGTTTTCTCCTAGACATAGAAAGTAAATTAATATCTGTCAATCAAAACAGACTCGATTACAATAATCTAAAATAATCTGTTTAACTATGCTATGCACATTAAACCAAGGTGTTAACATCCAAACAGTGATTTAAGAGTAACACTCTGGCTCATTAGAACACATTTACTAATCCAGAAATTGCGGGCAATTGACATTAAAATCTAAAATTTTACATCAAAATATCAAAATTGGAAAATGAATCTCCATATCAACTAGAACGGCTACGCAGGTCTAAATTTTAGAGTAAAAGTATGTTTTTGAAGGTAGAGATTGATGCCCCGATCTTAAAAAATACCTTAAATAAATAAGAAAATGTAAAAAAATGTACGTTGGATCAAATGGAAATATCTGTAGAAAAGATCAGACTTCTCTCTTTGAGTGTTAGATGTAGCAATTGGAGTAATTTTGACTGACTCTGATATTTGGTAGAAGAGAAATGCTATTCAATATACAATATATAATACTTTGAAATCTAAAATACAACACACAAATGTAACATGGATTCAGTCTCCTAGGTTACAGATTAAAACATAGCCACAAAGATTCCTTATACTCCTGATAAAGTAGAAATGTGAAGGTCGTTCTTGGTTTTAATAGAAAACTATAGGGCATATTTGTGCTTTTAGCAACTGTCAGGTGTTTGGCAGTAATGAGCCTTTCAGAAGTCTTGCATCTCTGGATGAATATTCCCTTACCATTAAACTCACTTTACATTGTTACACTAAGAATTCCATTTTGATGGATACAAACTAATGAAAACAAAAACTCTCTCCAGCAGTCGGTTAGCTCTTTCCCTCTGTGGCTGACTGCCACCTCTATAAATTTGTATTTTATTTTTGTCTATGTTATTTATTATGCTGTTTACAATCATATGAAAAGTATACGGGTCATATGCAAATTATAACACTTTTTAGAATAGAATAGAATAGAATATTATAGTTTTGTTTTCTACATAAATCTTACTATTTTCTATTTTAGAAAAGTGTATCTTATATTTCAGTTCTGCCCTAGCACAGTGCATTAAAATCCACTTATATTTTTATTCTATTATACCTTTCTTTTCCTATGGAAGCATTGGCTAGGCGTGGAAGGACGGGAAGCCTTATGAAACGAGAGACGCTACCCAGGAAAATGAAAAACTGTCAGAAGGAAAACTTACTTTCTGGAATATGTAAAAATCAAGGCTGCTGTTACTAAGCACAGAACGATGATCACAACTCCTGTAATGACTCCAGGAATACTAGATTGGAAAGAATTGTCCCCCGCTAAATATATAAAAATAAATAATTCAGATTCAGAAAATAATCACAACACGCTACAGATTTATTTTACATCATGATATGCATCTAAATACATATAATAGAATAACCCGAGGATTTCTGTAAGGCTCGACAAGACATGTTAGAAACTACTTTTGACAAACTTGGGAGGATATCAACCCATTTAGTAAATATTTGTAATGGCATTAATAAGTTGGTAAGGACAATGTATAGTCCATATGCTAACTCTGAAGCATTTTAGGTTTCATAGGTAGCGGCACATATATCCGTTTCTCATCACCCCATTTGGAAAAACTATTGGGGAAGCCAATTAATATATACATATGTATATATGTATAAATATATATTATTATTTTATTTTTTTTATTAAGGGTCCATGACATTGATGCATATATAACAAAGAAATTGATTCATATATTTGACAATTATGTTTCACAAAAAAGAAACGTTGATATAATGTAAGATAGCAAATCAATAAATCAGTTTACTAAGGCATTCAAATATACATGTAAGGCTACAGAAAACCTTTATGGAAGTAAATTTTAACCTTATATATGTTTCATCCTGAAATGCTAATGTCAAGTTAAGATTAAGCTGAAGAGATTTTCTGACAAAACAGTTTGTGGTACCAATGTTTAAAGGAACACTATGGTCACCAAAACAACTTTAGCTTAATGACAGCAGTTTTTGTTTATAGAACATACCTCTGAGGTTTCACTGCTCAAGTCTCTGCCATTTAGGCATTAAATAACTTTGTTAATGTTTATACAACAATAGCTACACCTCCCCTGACTGGCACAGCCTGCCTGAAAACAAAATAGTTTCATTTTCAGTCAGATGTTAACTTATTTTAGATTGATTTATCTCCTGCTCTGTAAATTGAACTTTAATACTTAAATTACATACAGGAAAAAAATCTGTCAAAGTTGTTTATGCTTTATTTTGGTTTGTATATGTGTTCATAAGTGTCTGATTGCTGGTTGACATTGTTTTAACAAGTGATGCATTTCTCTTTAAAAGCTTAAGAACAAACATTCTTCATAATGCAGATATGACATATATATCAAAACATATACTCACAGTTATCTAAAAGTCTTAGAACAAGATCACCGATATCATTATAAGTCATACATTCGATCAGAGGCTTTTTACCATCCGTTAATTTCAGAGTCAAGTTGCTAGTGCTGATTGAATGCGACTGTTTTACTGTAACAATGTGAAGGCTGTCATTGCTAATGTTCGTAATGTAATATTTCATATTGATTTTCCATGTGATGTTTGTTAGTGGAAATGACTGGATAACACAGGTACATTTGACAAGGCTTTCTCTCATCGAGCAACTTGATTTATCTCCCACAGATTTGGGTCTATCTAAAAAGTAATGAATACGTGATGTAGACATTTAATGGATAAACAAGTCTGATTATGTGAAAACAGTATATTTTATATAAATGCTTAAACTATGTATAAAAATAACCATAAAGTTCAATGATTTATATTATTATGGGAAGATTTCTATAACATTTATGTTAAATGAAATAGTGATACATATCCTATAAAACCAGCATTTCTAAGCATAGCTTGTTCCGAAAAAAAAGATATATAAACAGAAAATATGGAGTATTTGTTATTACAGAAATAGTGTAAAGTATAAATTATTACCTGTTCTATGCAAATTCTTAACATACAATTCTCAAGAAAAAATAAAAATGAGTCTTTTAACCAGAATTGTCATTAAAACTGTACAAATACTCTGGTCACAGATATTTCAGTAACTTCACTGGTGATGTTAAAGAATGATTGATTACATTTAAGCTTGAACATTTTGTGGGAGGACAAGGAAACTCATTCTCTCTTGGTGTATTCTTCATTCCTGACTGTTCTCATTCCTGACTGTTCTTGTGGATTGTCCTTGCCCTCCATTGTTGGTTCCTGACACTGACTCTTATTCCAGACACTGACTCTCATTCCTGACTACTCTTACAGGTCACCCCATGTATGTCTGCTTCTGAGCTTGGATAAAGCTCCCTGGGTACACTCATGTATTGTCATATTTGCTTTGCTTCTATATCCACTCTTACCAAAGACTCTGCTCTCACGATATTGTTTCCTCTGCTAAAGACTCCCATTTCCCCAAACATCTCTGTTGCCTCCACTGCACAACAGGTAGTATACACAGCTCACCATAATGCTTCCTATTCTATGTAGGTTTCCTGGCTTTCATAAAAAATAGTTACTTTATTGCCCATACCAAGCTTGTATAATTAGATCTTACCTCTCTGAAATATCATCAAAGCTATCACAGGAGGTAAAACTTTGTATATATTGTAAATATATTTACCTACCAGTATTGTTCTGTTTATATTGCCTAAGTTATTTCTAGCCAATTAAAATCCATTGAGTATGGGCCTAAATGTTACAGTATGTGCTAAGAGTAGTGATGTCCCGAACGGTTCGCCGAACGGTTCGCCACGGACTCATCATTGAGTAAACTTTGACCCTGTACCTCACAGTCAGCAGACACATTCCAGCCAATCAGCAGCAGACCCTCCCTCCCAGACCCTCCCACCTCCTGGACAGCTCACTAAGAATGCAGCTTCACAATGAATGTAAAATGGATGCTGTCCAGGAGGTGGGAGGGTCTGGGAGGGAGGGTCTGCTGCTGATTGGCTGGAATGTGTCTGCTGACTGTGAGGTACAGGGTCAAAGTTTACTCAATGATAAGTCCGTGGCGAACCGTTCGAGGCGAACCATTCGCCAAACCGTTCGGGACATCACTAGCTAAGAATGATTAAGTAAAGTCATTTCATTTACTGCTTGAAATATTGTGTCCTCCAATTATTGCACAACATTACACCATCACTACATCATGAATATGTCAACAATTCTAGTACCATCTAGTTATTAATCAGTTTAGGTTTTTCATTGCAGAAATTATCCACACTCCGATGTAACAATTAATTATATCATGTGAAGTTGCACATAACAAGTAGTGATGTCCCGAACGGTTCACCGAACGGTTCGCGAATGGTTCACCACGAACGGTTTGCCGCGGACTCATCATTGAGTAAACTTTGACCCTGTACCTCACAGTCAGCAGACACATTCCAGACAATCAGCAGCAGACACTCCCTCCCAGACCCTCTTACCTCCTGGACAGCATCCATTTTACATTCATTGTGAAGCTGCATTCTTAGTGAACTGTCCAGGAGGTGGGAGGGTCTGGGAGGGAGGGTCTGCTGCTGATTGGCTGGAATGTGTCTGCTGACTGTGAGGTACAGGGTCAAAGTTTACTCAATGATGAGTCCGCGGCAACCGTTCGTGGCGAACCGTTCGCGAACCGTTCGGCACATCACTAATAACAAGTACTTTTTTGTGTTTCTTTTCTCTTCCGAGTAGGTTTAAATTAAAGGGAAGAATTGATATTTTGTATTAATATTAAAATATAAGACTGCATGTAATATAGTCTTCTTGTATACTATTTGTAATCAATACATTTAAATTAATCTCCTGTCTTGCTCTAGTGGGGCAGCCAACTTTAGTCTTCTTTCGTCAGAAACATAGCTTATCGTCTAAGAGTATGTACAATTTGTTCTGTAACTGTCTCAGAGTGCCTTCTGAAGATGAATTTCAAGTGTGCATGATGTCAGCATTCACGAATTCACACTAGCTCTTATAACCTGCACACTTTTTTAAATTGTATAAGCTGTGCTTAAGACCAAAGAGGACTTCAAGATGGCTGCTTCGTGGAAGAGATGCACTCAAACTAGATGTCTACGAATATGCTTTACAAAATAATATAATAAAATATAATACAAAACTACCACAACAAGAGGACATAGTCTTAAATTAGAGGGACAAAGGTTTAAAAATAATATCAGGAAGTATTACTTTACTGAGAGGGTAGTGGATGCATGGAATAGCCTTCCAGCTGATGTGGTAGAGGTTAACACAGTAAAGGAGTTTAAGCATGCGTGGGATAGGCATAAGGCTATACTAACTATAAGAAAAGGCCAGGGACTAATGAAAGTATTTAGAAAATTGGGCAGAATAGATGGGCCAAATGGTTCTTATCTGCCGTCACATTCTATGTTTCTATGTTTCTACATTTTATGCTACTGTAGCAATTACTACTTACATGTCATCATGACTGTTATATTACTCGAAGAATTGCCCCATGAGTTGTTTGCTGTGCAGGTGTATGTCCCCTCATCTCTGAATGATACTTTGTTCACAGTCAGTGGTCCATTTGACGATGTCTGCATAGTGTTTTGACGATCCTTAATCCAGAACAGGTTGGCTGCTGGTAAACTCTCAGCTGAACAGAATAATTTAAATGATGACCCCTCCTCAGCATAGACAATGGATTTTGCATTCACTGAGCAACCTAGAAAAAGACATTGGTTTCATTAAATTTAAACCATAAAAGAGACGGGGAAAAAAGAAAGAAGAAGCAATTTATAGCTATACCAACATCTTGCAATGCTACACTTCCACCTTCAATGGTTTCATAACATTTTACGTGTTAGTTTGTCTTGTACACATAAATGCTTCCTGTCTACAAACTGCTCACTGTTAGTCCTGTTTACTATTGTAGATGTGTCCATGCCGGTGAGACTGAGTGTAAAATAGAGCTTTAATGGGCAGGTTAAAGAGTATTTATAACTATGAAAAATGCAGGTTTTTTACAATCACATAATAAATAATCTTATTCTTAAAGTCTAGGGTTGTTAATTAATGTCCTAAAGTGTTGATATAAATGTAGCAGTCCTACTGAGTAATATATTTCCCTAGTGTTGGACTTCACAGTCTGTTTTTTTAAATGGCTAGCATGATTAAAAATATACAGGATTAGCTTGATTATAGATCACAGGTACTCTATGAAAGGCATATAATGAAAGTATTTCACAGAGCAGTTGTACCCAATGGCAGAACCCCAGATTTTTTAAAAACTTAGGCTCCCAGGTGTTTTTAAAATAAAATGTCCATAATGCTCTGTCATTCTAAAGCAGGGGTGCCCAACAGGTAGATCCCCAGGTTTTGTAGAACTACAACTCCCATGATACTTTGCATGCCTTTAGAATTCGTTCGAATGACAAAGCATCATGGAAGTTGTAGTTTTAAAACATCTGGCGAGCTACCTTTTGGGCACCCCTGTTCTAAAGACTGGAAAAGCTGAAGCCTCATTGAAATCATATTTGTAAACAAATGTCTTTTGGATATCTGTTCATAGTGGATACTTATAGAAAAACAAATGATTGGATAGAGTTTAATAGACAAGACCCATCATCTGGCCATATGAATTACTACACCTTTTGTATTTTTTTTTATTTGCTTAATTTGTATTAAAATGTCTCTCAATATACAGCATAACATTATAGCTATGTTCCTTCTATCTATAATAGACACAGCTAGACACATTCTCAATCCAAGTTATAGGAACTGCCTTTAGTTATGCATTTAACATATAATTCTAATCTAAGTAATAAGAACATTAAACAAGAAAAGCAATTATAATTACCACTTGAACAAGAAATATTTGGTGTTCGTGGAGGATCTGAAATTATAAAAATTAAATAAAAATAATGGCATAATAATTCAATAACAACATTGAAAATAACTCCAATTCTGAGTTGCTATCATTGTTTAGTAAAGAATATTAATGGCAATAATAATATTATAATAAAATAAGAATAATATTTAATCTCGAAACTTAAATCCCAGGGGACCGTTTGGATCCACACATGATGCTCTGGATCTTATATCTCATTACCAGCTGTTTTCACTCTTGCAGGGTAGAGAGTATACTGTGGTCAGACCCACATTAGATGCAAGTAATGCTCTGATCAATGTTGCTCACTTTCAATTGAGCTCCATGACCTCGCCAGCTGCTCGTTCTACAAGACAGCTTCCTGTTAGCAAGCTGTAACTCTACTGCAGGGTTAGACATTGAACACTAACAATTTGCAACATTATTGGCAAAATTATTACGTCTTCCGTACCCCACCTCTGCCTATTCTCCATTTACAATGCCATCAACACCAGCCCACTCACAATGCCATCACGTCCAGTCCACTCACAATGCCATCCCACCCACAATGCCATCAATATGACCGCACCCACAATGCCATCAATACGATCGCACCCACAGTGCCATCAATATCAACCATCCACAATGCCATCAATATGATCGTACCAATAATGCTATCAATACCAGCCCACCCCCAATGCCATCAACATCAGCCCATCCACAATGCCATCAACATCAGCCCACCAGCAATACCATCACTTCCAGTCCAATCACAATTTTCGTCCCACCCACAATGCCATCAACACGATCCCACCCACAATGCCATGGATATGATCACACTCAAAATGCCATCAATACTCGCCTACCCACAATGCCATCAACACCAGCCCTCTCACAATGCCATCCCACCCACAATGCCATCAATACGATGCCTTCAATACCAGCCCATCCACAATGCCATCAACACCAGCCCAACAGCAATACCATCACTTCCAGTCCACTCACAATGTCATCCCACCCACAATGTCATCAATACGATCCCACCCACAATGCCATCAATATCAGCCCATCCACAATGCCATCAATACCAGCCAGCCCACGATGTCATTAATATCAGCTAATTCTCCATTAATACCGCTATCTCTTCATACCCCCATCCATTAATCAATTAACAGCAGCCTACTCCTACCTCTTCCCAACCCACAATTCCATCAATACCACCCCACCCCCGCCTATTCCCCACCCTCAATGCAATTAATACCACCCCACTCCAACCTCTACCCCAACCACAGTGCCATTAATACCAGTTTATGCCTGCCTCTTTCTTTACTTACAATGTCATCAACACTACTGCCTATTCTCCAACCACAATGCCATTAACACCACCTATGCCTATTTCCCACCCACAATGCTATTAATAGCACCCCACTCTGACCCTTTCCCCAACCATAGTGCCATTAATACAAGTCTGTGCCTGCCTCATTCCCACTTACAATGCCATCAATACTACCCCACTGCTGCCTATTCTCCAACCACAGTGCCATTAACATTAACTTTTTGAAAGCGATAGCTTCTTGCAGCCTATTCTAGGTTAGATAACTTGCTCGCAAGTTCCATCGCCCTGACATGAAATTGACTGGTTAGAAAATTATAGGAATTGTGGCCTGAGGTCTCACATCATCTGCACCTGGTCCACTACAAGAAACAAGACATTACTTACACTGGACGATAACATTAAAAAATTTGCTGGTGCTGCCATGATTATTCTGGGCCAAGCAGAGATAAATGGCCGCATCCTTAGGTGAGATATTCTGTAGACGGTAAGACTGTGTCTGAGCACCAACTGAACTCTCGTGTTTATTGCTTCCAATCCACCAGTTAATGCTAGAGGTAGGATTACTGGCTACCTTGCATTCCAGAACAACAGATTCGCCTTCTCGGAGCACAATAGATGTGTTTTCCTTTGCATCAGGCTTAAATCTACCTAGCAGAGAAATAGACTTACGTCATATATGTAAATAAACAATACGAGAACATATATATAGCTCTGGCTAAGTGTATGTCTATATACAATATGTAAAATAACTAATCAAATATGTATCTTTTAATACCTCAAGTCTAGAGAATTTCTGAGCAAAAACAACACATATAATTCAAAGTTGAGTTGTAATACAGGGGTTATAGTGATAAAAAAAAAATACGAATTTGATCGGGTTTTTTTGCATCTGCATTGCTGGACTAATACGGCTACAATCCCTACTCTATATACAATAAAAATACATAACAGGATGGGGAAAATGTGTGACCATATAGTAAATGCTGGTGCAAGATGTGGTGATTTGTGGTATCTCAGAAAATTTCCTGGAATTGTTATACAAAACAATTTCTACAGAATACAGAGATTGGTGTGAACTACAAAATAATATCCAGTCAGCTGCTCTTCAATGGGTTTAAAAATCTTGTTAATGAAACAGTTCAAATGAAAGTGGCCAGGATGGTTACGGTGACAGGGTGTGAAAACATTATAAAAATGCTATGCACAAACAGCACATTGAACCTTGGGCATACAAATCTATTTCTATAGCAACATGCAGATAGTAGAGTCAGAATTGTCACAAACATAAATCCGTGGGTACAGCCGTCATTTTGCCATGTTTCATTGTGTTGGTGGGGATGTAACGGTGTGGGGAAAGTGACCACCTAGATGTGGAGACTTTACTGTGAGTTTATTTTTGTGCACAACTCTGTGATTCACTAATACACACAGCAAACACTGAGTTCTACTGCTGTGGAGTTCTGTGAAGAAAAATTAAGAGCATCTAGAATTTTAGAGAGAGATGTTTGAATCCCTGTTTAAATCAAACAATAGTCTTGGTTTACTGCTCGACAGTCAATCTTTATTGATTAGGAGCCTAGTAAACATTTAAATTATTAACATGTAGTATATGTAATAAATAGATATAGCTTGCCTTACCTGTAATGGAGATATTCATGTAGGGTGGATCTGAAATATAAGCACAGGTTTGTAAACATAAACAATAATCACAGCTGGACCTGCATTTAAATAAGTCCCAGTATGTGCGTATTCTTTTATTACTGAGCTAGATAGAGTAGAGACCTTTAATCAGAGTGGTATTGTTTGTTGCATGCACTAAATATCGCTCTCATCATTAACAACTCTCATAGTGCAATCACACCAGACAAACAGAAACATCACAACTCACCTGTTATGGGTTTGGATATAAACCCAAAATATACTAATGACATGCAAACATGGTGGGCAGCTTCAATAACAGAGTGTCTAAAATTCCCCTGAAATATTCAGGTTGGGCAGAAAAAGGGTTTAATGTATGTGGGTTAGCTTTAGGGTTTTTTCAGTAGGTGAAGTAAACTTTTTAGCAATACAATTTGATTATTTCATATCAATGGATGCACCATTCAAGTTGTAGCAGCTGATCCCATGACCTGGTTGAGTTATTGCTGCTGTCTGCTCATTTTGCTAATTGTCAGTATATATATATATACTTTCAGGACACAGGATTTCTAACATTTAAAAACTGTATATGCAAAAATTTGTCCCTGATGTATTGCAAACAAAGATAGCTCAAAGTGGCATGACTTAGCTGTACATGTTTTGAAGTAATTTGAAATTATGAATAAATATTAGAATTTTTTTTTTAAATACTCTACTCTTACAACATATAATTGTCTTTTGAAGAAGACATGTCCCTTTTCAAGACTTTCACAGTTCTTGTTTTTAACATGCTATACTGTTCCAGTAGAAGCCTCTTGGTGTCACTATTGTACCTCATACACGTGACAGTACATATTAGGATTATGCATAGCACAATGTTAACACAGTGACAATGACCTGGAACCAAGTCAATGGCCTAATGCCCTTTGAAGGGATATATCACCATCGAAAAACATCACAATGCACACATGGAAACAAGGTATGTGTGTGTTATCCCCAAAAAAGGAAAAACGAGGCAGATACCTGTACATGAGCATTATGTTACATAACAACAAGGTGGGAGCAGCCAAGACACACTTTAAGGCAGGTAAGAATGCAGAATACTTTTCATGGTAGGAGAAAGCAAGGGATTAGATGTGCAACTTGCAATAACATCAGGAACCAGAGGCAAGGAGGCAAATACCTCACCTGTGCATCACATTTGGATGAGAAAAGTGATACATATATATATATATATATATATATATATATATATATATATATAGTGGAAAATGTATTTATTAATTAATTATAAATTAAACTTATAAGTATCCATATTAGTGGCCCTTTAGGACAGCATCTAAAAGGTAAAGTTATATAGGTAAGAATCTCGTGTTTGATGCATTAGTCACTTATGCAGGAACAGGTACATATAAATATAATAAAACATGCACATAACTATTGCTGGCGTATTTGTACTGTTTCAAATAAAAACACACACTTTGTGTGTGTTTGTATTTGCTTTTGCATTATACAGCCATGTCATAGTCCCAACCGATGTGCGCCAAATTCTTTTTATTTAGTATGTAGAGGTTCATAAAATACTCCTTTGTGTCTCAAAGATTTTGCCATTTAGTAAAAAGCAGGAAGGTAAACTGTTAGTGTAGGCTCACCTACGAAGTGCACTAGCACTCCATACAAATATACCCCTGCATTCTCCACAGAAATACACCACTACATTTGCAAACACTACACAAATGTGCTTATAGATAGACAGACGGACGGACTCAGTCTGCCTATCTAGCATATATATATCGTAGGTAGATGGGTATATAAAAATAATAAAAATCTATGAATCAGGACTGGCCAGTTAATGCTTCTCTACCCTGGAAGATATATACACAGTAAATATTTTGCATTGTCAAGTGTTATTGGCCACCTACTTCTGCGCTGGAACACCGTGTGTCCCATATATATATATGCACACACACACATACATACATACATACAGTTTCTCACAAAAGTGAGTACATCCCTCACATTTTTGTAAATATTTTATTATATCTTTTCATGTGATAACACTGAAGAAATGACAAAACACTTTTGTTGCCAACGGTGTAGACATTAAGACTGTGTGTTGAGTTATATTGAGGGGACAGTAAATGTACACTGTTATACAGGCTGTACACTTACTACTTTACATTGTGGCAGAGTGTCATTTCTTCAGTGTTGTCACAAGAAAATATATAATAAAATATTTACAAAAATGTGAGGGGTTTACTCACCTTTGTGATATACTGTATATATAGTCTCTGGAGATACCAGTGGCAACGTGTGTCCATGTGTCCAGAAGCAACAACCTAAAAGGCTCAACACTATGGAAATTAGTTGAATGTTCTACATGTGTATAAGGACCCTGCCAATGTAGGAAGGCCACCATGAGCATGCCTAAACCTAGGTGGGAACCCATTGGGTATATTAATTGGAGTCCTAAAATTGGTCCTTTGTTATGCCCGACAGTGTATGTGCGCCCAGGGATGATGGCTGCTGCAAGGCATTGCTTGGCACTGCAAAAATTTATTCACCAAACCTTAATTTGAGGTGAATTAGGAAAAGCATAGCAAAAATAAAAAATAAAAAATTGAAACCAAATTAATTTGCGTAGGAAAATATGACAATTCTGTTATCAAATCAACACAAATAAATCTTGAGTGAAAACCACTCTAATCATTTATTTATTTATAAAATATTTTACCAGGAAAGATACATTGAGATTTCTCTCGTTTTCAAGTATGTCCTGGGTCCACAAAACATTACATTGATACATTAGGGTATAATAAAATACAAAAACAATATTAATACACAATAAATACAAAATTTAACATAGAACAGGTAGGAAATATATAATCAACCAGGGCAGGTGCATTCTGTTTTGAGGTATGTAGAGAGGGATCTCTAAAAGGACTTTAGGCTTGGGGAAGGTTTGAAAGTGTGCGGGAGGCCGTTCCACAATTGCGGTGCTCTGTAGGAGAAGGAGGATCGGGCCGCTTTCTTTTTGTATTGAGGAAGACTAAATAAACCATGTAGCTAGACTGTGAAATCCGTAATTAACAAACTTTGTTAAAGGGACACCGTAGGCACTGTATCTGCATCATCTCAGTAAACTGGTTATAGTGTCTGGAGTCTTCTGGTCCCATCTTTTCTATCAGCATTAAACAGTTTTTAAAGTTTTAATGCTAAACAAGAGTCCCCAGCAATCCATCCCCTCTGTGCCGCTTTGGCTCATGAGGAAGTATTAGCCTGAGCAGCAATAGGCAGCTGTGATTGGCTGAGAGTGTCAGCTGACTGCTTTTAGCCTGTCAGAGTTCCAACTGACGGTATGAGTGGGTATGACAACAAGGAAGTGTGTAATCTCTGCCTTAGCTACACATACTGAAGGGGCCGGACTGTGGGTGGCCAGGGACACGTATTTTGTGGCATACTGCACGAACATGGTGCAACACTGAATGGAGGGACAGTGCCAGGGTACTCCAGGCACTATAACCAATTCAAAGAGATGAAATGCTTATAGTGACTACAGTGTCCCTTTAAATTACCTCATATTGTTTACTTATTTTTCAATATAGGATATTATTTATAATATAGAATAAAATACAGAGTTTAAGACTTACACTGAACATCAAGGCTGATAACTCCTGTAATTGAGACCATCTTAGTTTCGTATATCAGCGAACAACTTAGAATAGACTTGTCATTTTCCTTGGTTGGAATGAATGTGATATTTGAGTAGTATGTCGTGCTGCCATTTTCATTTATTACTTGTTTCTCATTGAATGACACAGATTGTAGGTTCTTTATTCCATCCCACTTCATGCTGTAATTGGTCTCAGAACATCTGCCAAGACCAGTGCAGGTGAGTGTCACCTCTTTATCCACCAATAGATTCTCTGAGTGTGTGATTGCAGTTTTATCTGTTCTTTCTAAAGGGAACAAAATCATTTTAAATTAGTTCATATTCTTTAATTATGCCTGTTGAAATTATTCCGATTATGTCTGAACATTAAACTTCACAACTAAGAACATGCTTATTATTAAAATCCCTAGAACAAGCAGTCAGAGTTAGCACCAGACAGCCATTCGAAAATTATAAAGCTGCTTATACGTATTTATGCTTACACTTACCACACTAGCTCCACCTACTGTCCAGTTTGTCAATCACACTCATTATATATGATGATTGATACTGCTACCCAACACCCCATCTCAACTACATATCCATAATTACATAATGCCCAGATGTTCTGTGTTTGTCAATTAACAGTGTTAATGTATATTTTTTAGCCTTTTATATAAAGATATGCCCTTTTTTTAAATAAACTTTGTATTATTTATTCATATTTACAAACTCTTCATTTTTACCATGTTTTAGGTAGATTTTATCGATTGTGTATTTTGTATAACAGATATTTTGTCCGTAATAGTTGTTTTATAATGCTCCTTTTTTTTTGGCCCTCCTTACACTGTATTTTCATGAGGACTGTACATATGAATATAAATGTTTTTTGAGGACTACTTTAAATGATTGGTGCAACATAATGTTGAAATTCAAAATATGGACTTGGGCATTTTGAGAGGTGTGACGTCCTGTCACCCTCGCAGCATATAAAAGAATGCCGCGGGAGAACCCATGTATGCTTGCAAAAGCCCAGAAGTTACTGCACATGCAGAGAGACGGTGACCAGCTGGGAGTTACAGAGGGGACACTCGGACTGTATGTTTTCCAGCACCCAAGACTTTGGTCTGCTCCAAGTGCAGGGAGATTTTATCTTTTTTTTATTCTTCAATTACGGATTGTGTGAATAATAAAGTATTTTACTTTATGCTTTTGGCTGGTGGTGAGTGTGCTTGCAAAACCACGTCAGGTTCCAACTATCCCGAGGGTCTGATGCTCCCTGTGCCTGATAGTCTGGTGGGGTACTATAACCACTTCACAACTGTGAGTGTATTTCCTACAGAGCACCACATTTTATATATTTTTTGGGCTATATTGTTTGTTTATTACTGGTGTTTATAAAGCGCTAACAGATTCCGCGGGGCTCTACAATTAGTGGAGAACGTACAATGGAACATGCTATATATTTAGGGGAAACCCCGGTGGGTGGGATGTGGTGAGAAAAAATGCAGAGCTTCACTGAGTTTCAGTGTGAGATGAGCCCTGAAGAACAGAGATGGAGATTGAACAGTTATTTGAACGTATTTACAGCTGGTAGGAGAATAGGAAAGAGGAGGAGGGGGGAGGAGGGTAGGGTAACCATGTGTTATATACTATTGAAAAGTTTAGCAACCAAATTCTATCACTCAAAATATTAATAACTATGTATATGAAATATTGATCAGAAACATTAAATGACAATAGTACAAACTGCATGCACAGAAAATTACAGTGGCAAACTACAGGTATAAATGGTAACAAATCTATAGTAACACATGATAATATAGTAGCAATGTAAGAATAAATGAGGTGGCGTATCTTCCAAGATTCAGTCAGTACCTGGGAGTGGTGGGATTTTCTGCAGGATGTAAAATGCAGAGCTTCGCTGAGTTTGAGTGTGAGATGAGTCCTGAGAGTGGTAGGATTTTCTGCAGGATGTTAAATGCAGAGCTTCACTTAGTTTGAGTGTGAGATGAGGCCACATAAGATATTGTGTGCTTTCACAGTGTGGTTTTTATAATACTTTTTTCCTCACGAATAGATTTTTAACGTGTATACCTCTGGGAGATCCATTTACTATGTCACTTTTCCTGCACTGGCACTTTTTGAAAATAATTGTTCGCGCAGCTACATTTTTGGTTTTTTTACTACTTCGAGTATTTACTATATCAGAGTTCCTTGTAGGTTGCTGCATATATATTGTTGTTTATGGTTTGCTTATAGTGGTAACACTTATTTTTATAATTACTTGCGCCATTCTAATTGATTTGTTTTTGCAATTAACAATTTTTTTTTTTACAATTTGGCTAGCACAGACTGTGTCCTTCTATGTTAGAGCTTGTCACAAGCTGAAACGATTCTAAAACCATACTGCCTTGCTACAGACTTACTGTCCAGTATATCAAACACTTGTTAGATATTATAGATGCAGTTGTTAGTCTTTTTTTAACATATGATGGGCTCCTTTGCAACATTGTGGCCGAATATCTGCCATAAACTGTTATAAACAATGGCAGCCACAAGTTTCCAACCTTGACCCTGGCGTTTAATGTCCTATCACTAGTAACGTGTACTGCAAATAACATTTTCTATCATATTGCTATTATCATGATATAATATTATTATTATATCATATCATCGTGATATCATGATATAATATTATTAAAGTGTCTCTGTCACCCCTATATCAAAAAATGAGTATTTCATAAAGATTAACTTTGCTGTAAAAAAGATATACTGAGACAAAGCTTGACATCTTGACCAAAAGGCAGGGGTACCTCTGTCAGGCTTGTTATATCCCCCAGCTGTCACCAATGATTTGTTTGTTTTTTTATTTCCTTCTATAGAGACCTTAAACACAACTCGATAATCCCTAAATCCTTGACTAGTATGCGTACCTTGAGGACTGGTTTGGAAAACACTACTCTAGAGGACGCAGAGACAGGTTTTACATTTTGAGAGATAGTATTAAAAGCTAAACCTCTCTAGGGATTATTGCACTAGGAGTTCCCATGAGTCATCACAGTTTTAATTTATCAAACTGTTTTAGATACAGTACCATGCTTATTGATTGAGAGTGCTCTGTGATGCTCTCAGTCAATGAGTGTGGCCTATTATAGCCATTTATCTCTACAGAGCCCAGTGGAACCCAGATAAATTATCAAACCTTTCTAAAACAGTTTAACAAATGACTCTACACTGTGAAACTACAGCATGCCTTTATGTGTGTGTGTGTGTATATACACACACACACACACACACACACTGATCAGCCAAAACTATAAACCACTGACAAGTGAAATTAAGAACATTAAATGAATTGTTACAATGGTACCTATCAAGAGGTTGAGTATATTAGACAGCAAGTATACAGTCAGTTCATGAATTTCATGTGTTTGAAGCAGGCACAATGGGTTAGCGAAAAGATCTACTTGACCTTAACAAGAGCCAAATATTGATGGTTAAACCAACTCCAAACTAGCAAGTCTTGTGTGGTGTATTCTCGGCATACAGTAGTTAGTACCTACCAACAGTGGTGCAAGAAAGGACAACCCACCGGTCACCCAGTGTGACGGTCATGGGCACATGTCAAAATACACTGTGCATCACAGTTTGCTGCGTTTGGAGCTGTGCAGTGCTGCTTCTCTGGGTGGCCATATTAACCCATCTCCAACACTGAAAGCCCCTTCAGTGGGATCATAAGAGTCAGAACTGGACCATGGAGCAATAGAAGTGTCACGTCCTGTTCCTGCTGCGTATCATTTCTGGTTATGGCTTCTGGTATCCAGTACACTTTTTAAAATTCTTGTTTAGTTTTTCTTGTTTTTTCTGGTTCTCTATTCCATGTCTGGTTTTCGTTATGCTGGGTTTTCTGGGTTTATTCCATTCCTGGAATTCCCTGTCTCTTGGATTCCTTTTAATTTTTTTTTTTGCCACACCCGTTCCTTTCCCATTAATCCTTTTCTTTCAGCTAGTTCCTGCAGGCAGTTGCTCCAAGTCCTCTGCCCCTTTCTTGCAGGTAAGTGATGTGTGTGTTTTATTATGGTTTATTTAGTCATGCATATCTAGGCAGTCTAGGACCCACCGTTAATTGGAGTACTTTGGCGCAGTGGTGGGCTGCATACATCTTGGCCATTTATGTATGTCTAAATCTCCAATGGGTTACATATATAGTACTTAGTTTTGTCTCCTCTTGCTTTGCCTTGCATATCTTGTCTTGTTTTATTTTGTATTCCCAGTCCATGTACAGTCTTGTCCTACCCTGCCCATGTTCTGTTACTGTTTCCCTTTTTGTATTGTGTACATGTTCTGGGTTCTGATTTCTGTCCTGCTCCATTTCTGGGTTCTACTATGTTTTGTCTTATCTTGTTTGGTGCCTGTTCTAGTCTTGCCTTGTTTCTAGTACTGCATACATACCTGCTGCAGAGCTTCCCTATCCAGATCCTGGGAGGTCTGCATATTTTCTCCTAGTTCCTGGGTTTCATAGAAGCTACATCAGGGCCCTGGTATGTGGCCGAACAAACCCTAGTTCTCAGCACTAGGGGACATGTGGTTACCCTGCACCAGGCCCTGATTGTTTAATTTCCACGAGGTTGACTCCGATCATCATCAGGCACACAGGGGTCCCGGTTTCTGTGCCATCATCCGTGACAAGAAGAAGGTTGCCTGGTCTGATAAATCATGTTCTCTTTTAGATCAGGCGGACGGCTGGGTGCATGTGCATTGTTTACCTGGTGAGGAGATGGCTGCAGGATGCACTATGAGAAGAAGGCAGGCTGGCAGAGGCAGTGTTATGCTCTGGGTAATGTTCTACTGAGAAACGTTTGCAATCATATGGATGTAACTTTGATATATTCCAACTATCTAGAGATTGTTGCAGACCACATAGTTTGGCAATGACAATGGTGTTCCCTGATGGAGTTGAACTCTGTCAGCAAGATATTGCACCCTACCAGGCCCGGACTGGCCATCGGGCATACCGGGCAAATGCCCGGTGGGCCGCGATGGCCGTGGGGCTGAGGCCAGTAGGGGAGATCACAGGATCTCCCCTGCCAGCCCCTGCAGGGCCAGCGCTATCCGAGCCTGCTGTGTGCCTCCATGGGCCGGTGGGGAGATCACAGATCTCCCTCACCGGCCCACAGGCACTGTTACAGGCGGCCGCAGGCTGGGGAAGGAGGGAGGCAGGAGAGAGGACCCGGCAGAGCTCTAACCAGCAGCTCCGCCGGGTCCTCTCGCGGGATTCTGAGCGTTGCCGCGGTTACCACGGCAACGCTCAGATCTCGCGAGAGTGAACTCTAGCCTGCAGGCTGGAGTTCACTCTCAACACTGGACCACCAGGGAAGCATGACAGCATGCGCCCCAACCCCCTCATGGCAACACGGCTCCCCCCCCTCCCAGGCTAAAGGTAAGAAGGGGGGGGGGAATAACTTTTTTTTTTATTATTATTAATAATTATTATAATTATTAATAAAATAAATATATATTTAAAATAATTACCCTAACAGCCCCCCCAGACACACACAGCCCCACACACAGCCCCCAGACACACACACACACACACACCCCCCAGACACACCCCCCACACTTGAACACACACAGCGCACCCCCAGACACACACACACAGCGCGAACACACACACAGCACCCAGACACACACACACAGCACCCCCAGACACACACACACACACCCCCACACGCACAGCTCACCCCAGACACACACAGTGCACCCCCCAGACACACACACAGCACCCAGACACACACACACACACACAGCACCCCCAGACACACACACACACACAGCACCCCCAGACACACACACACACACACCCCACACACAGCACACCCCACACACAGCACACCCCCAGACACCCCCCCACCCCGCTCTCACCCCAGACACACACAGCGCACCCCAGACACACACACACACAGCACCCAGACACACACACACACACAGCGCCCAGACACACACAGCACCCCCAGACACACACACACCCAGACACACACACACAGCAACCCCAGACACACACACACACACAGCACCCCCAGACACACACACACACAGCACCCAGACACACACACACAGCACCCCCAGACACACACACACAGCACCCCAGATACACACACACAGCACCCCACAGACGCACACAACACCCTCAGACAGACAGCACCCTCACTCCCACACACATACAGCACATATATATTATATAAAATAACCTTCAGTGAGTTAACAGACAAAATTAGAAACCCAGAATGTGACGGCAGATAAAAACACCCTCACACACAGCACTCCTCTTACACAAACACACTGCGCACCTTACACATACAATACGTCCAAATATATTATACACACACACACACACACACACACACACTACAGCACCCCTCACACTGCACCACTACACACATTACGCTCCAGATACACGCTAGATCCCTTACCTTATATGCACTATTAATCCTCTATACACACACACACACAATCTTCTATACACACTCTGGGTCCTTTACACACTAGATCTCTTACACACACACTGCAAACACATACAACATTCTCTAAACACACCCTCTCTACACACAGTAGTGTGTGTGTATAAGTGACACACAGTAGTGTGTGTGTATAAGTGACACACACTACGTCACCTATACACACACACTACTGCCCGTATGCACACACTCGCTACATCCCCTATAACACTATGCCCCTATACACGCACTCTCTACAGCCCCTAGCCACACATATTACACCACAAAATTGACCTATTTACACAATACCACACCACACTCTACACACAGGCAATCCCACAAGCATGCGCCAAACACATGCACCATACACTTTCCTGACCCTTTTGTCCTCTGGTATCCCACTTGTGGAGACACCAGAGACAATTTAAAAGCCAACACAGCGCAAGCATGTTATTACATTTGTTTGCGCTGCGCAGAACAAATACAGGGCCTTTTTCTAATGCTAGAGCTCTTCAGCGGGGCTCTGCGCATTGAACCAACATGCTCACTTTCAGAGGGGGTGTACTTGTCATTAGTGATGACAAACACACCCTCTCCGGCCCCGCCCCCTTTTTGGGGGGCCGCTCTAATTGAAAAATGCCCGGGCCTAATTTTTTTCCCAGTCCGGCCCTGCACCCTACCATACTGCAAAAAAAAAAAATGTTCAAGAATAGTTTGAGGAGCATGACAATGAGTTCAAGGTGTTGCATTGGCCTCCAAATTCCCTTGATTTCAATCTGATTGAGCATCTGTGGGATGTGTTGGAACAACAAAACCGATCCATGAAAACCACACCTTGCAATTTACAGGACTTAAAGGATCTGCTGCTAATGTCTTGGTGCCAATTACTACAGGAAACATTCAGAGGGCTTGTGGAGTCCATGCCTCAACGCATCAGAGCTATTTTGGCAGCACAAAGTAGACCTACACGATATTAGGTTGATGGTTATAATGTTGTGGCTGATCAGTGTGTGTATTCAGCTTTTCTAAACAATGATTCATAATGAATTCATGATTAATTTAAAAGAAGCACACAGAACAAAAAACAATAGTTTTAAATAAAATTATAATATGCTAATTTCATCACAGAATTCTTATTTAACCACTGGAGTTTAGTTTGTATTTCTCTCCATACATTTGCCACATTAACTCTTGGATCTAATCGCTCACAATAGTAAATATAAACTGTGTTTTAAATTGTAATAATTCCTGATAAACTTACCTGCCACTCTTACTAAAGGCTGGATATCAAAATAAGTGAATTTTATGTCTTCGTCTTCTACTCTGAATTGATAGCTTGACCAATCAGAATACTCTACATCACTGATGCTGAATGAGCAGTCTCCTTTACTCACATCCCCAGTCAGCAAGAACCTTCGTCCTGGGTCATGCACAGAGCCAGTTTTAGAAGCCACTAATGAGCCATAACGGTAATATCCTTTATACCAGAATCCTTTGGCATTTCTAGTTAGCTCTCTTTCGATGATAAAGCTGCAGGTAATGTGCACACAGAGCCCAATCTGGGCCGTGACAGATTTTGTTGCATAGATACTATATTTCGAGTTGGCCTCACTCTTATTCCCTGTGTCAAAAAAAGCAACAACAAAAAATGAGAGCTATGCATAAGAGGAATAACATGAGGCTTATTTATATCGATTTCTGGAAATTCAAAGTAAATTCAAAGTGCAATTTAAAATTTTAGCCATAAAAAATCTGTTCTCAACTGATTCTTAATTACTGAATCAGGACACAAAATTGGGTTCCCATGCTATGCCAATGGTTGGAACAGACATAGCATGTATTTCAGGCCTCAGGAAATTGGTTAAAAGAAGTTACTCCAGAAGGGTTACTCAACTTTTTTTTAGCTCAATGAAGCAGTTTTGGTGTATAGAACATGCCCCTGCAGCCTCACTGCTCAATTCTCTGCCATTTAGGAGTTAAATCCCTTTGTTTATGAACCCTAATCACACCTCCCTGCATGTGACTTGCACAGCCTTCCATTCTCCAGTGATATGAAGTGGTCATGGTGCCTGGAGTCTGTATGTCATAATGAAACATTGAACATACAGAGTTTAAACTGTCTGCAGCCAGAGGTGTAACTCCACCTCCAGCAGCGTCAGTGGGATGTCGGCAGCCAGCTTTCCTTATACGGAATGTCAATCATTGGCTGAGAGGGGTCAGCTGGCGATTGTCACCAGACCACCAGGGAGCCTCGGATCTCGACGTGGACCAAGGTAATGGGGCAAACCATTTTTTCATGTAGCAGAAACACACAATTTAGTATAGTGTCATATTAAAGGACCACTCTAGGCACCCAGACCACTTCAGCTTAATGAAGTGGTCTGGGTGCCAGGTCCAGCTAGGGTTAACCCATTTTTTTATAAACATGGCAGTTTCAGAAAAACTGCTATGTTTATAATAGGGTTAATCCAGCCCTCAAATCCTCTAGTGGCTGTCTCATTGACAGCCGCTAGAGGCGCATGCGTGATTCTCACTGTGAAAATCACAGTGAGAACACGCAAGCGTCCATAGGAAAGCATTGGAAATGCTTTCCTATGAGACCGGCTAAATGCGCGCGCAGCTCTTGCCGCGCGTGCGCATTCAGCCGAAAGGGAGGAGAGGAGGCGGATCGGAGGAGGAGAGCTCCCCGCCGGGCGCTGGAGAAAGGTAAGTTTTAACCCCTTTCCTCTCCCCCAGAGCCCGGCGGGAGGGGGACCCTGAGGGTGGGGGCACCCTCAGGGCACTATAGTGCCAGGAAAACAAGTATGTTTTCCTGGCACTCTAGTGGTCCTTTAAGAGTTGTTGTCCAAGCTAGAGTTTCAGTTAAAAATGGATCTTTGAATTAATGCTCTGCTTCATTAAAAATAAAAGGCTAAGAACAATTTATTTAGTGCATAGCTCTGTTTACGTGCATTGCAACAAAATGTGTTCAATTATTTTAACACTTTCACTGCCAAAATGATGTATGCAGATTATTACTTTCATTTGTTTTGCAAATTGTAATTATGTACATAAAGCCTCTCATTCCTTTTTTTTTTACTTCAGGAACGTTTACTAACTTATAGAGGAACAAATGTATCTGCCAGGAACACATTTCACCCATTTCCTGACTGCAGATGGGCTGTGAATAGGACTGTATGCTAAAACCATGCATGCAGTCCCTATTTGCATATATTTTTTTATATTGTTTTCTTAGAAATGTATGATTTAACTCCCAGCATTATGGTCAATCACAGACATTCTCTTCATATTCTGTTTCCATTTTCAGTAAGTTATACTGCTAGTAATGTCATCAAGGTTCTTATAAATACCTATCAGAAAGGTATTTGACCATATTGATCTATTCTTTTATAATAATATTTCAGCCCCAGTTATGGCAGTGCCTCCTCCCCCCTCTTAGTGAGATGTATCTCTCCCAAAGTTTACTTCTACAAACACTTGGGGGAGGACGAGCAGTTACTGAAGTCCCTGGTATCTTGTGGTGAGGAAGCTGAAGAGCTGGGCATTAGCTCACATAGACTCCTTCCTGTTACTCACAGGCAACCTGTACAGTAACAGGCAGTGCATGCCAGTATATCACTCTCTGTCCAAGCACATTCTGCCTATATAGATATCTGGAGGTAATAAAATAAAAGGTATCAGAGAGTAGGGTAGCTAAAGCTACACACTGTGTGCCAGGCAGTGTGGATACCAACCACTGCCCAGTGCTTGATTTAACTGCTGAGAAAAGGGGAAATGCTAATTTTCCAGGTATCACCATGTCTAATTATTATATAAACTTAGGACAAAGAGCTATTTTTTTTTATAGACCGGAATTCAGGAATACCTAAACATTGCAGAGATTTAAGAAGGAATTAGTAAATGTTAAAACGTGACAATTTTTGATATTATTTACAGTTGCCTGAAAGTTCTCTCCAAATCCCAAGTATTATGTTGATGAGGTCAAAGAGCAGTTGTGTGCAGAATATCAATGGTACTCACCTGTAAACTGTGCGGACAGTAGGAACCAAAGAAGGACCCCAGCTGTAGGACAGTGATGGAGAAAACAATATCTTCTAACCAGCATCTTTGCAAACTGTAAGCAGTGTGAATGATTACTTTCTTCATGAGCTACAACGGGATATATAGCGAAATCAATATCAGGATCTTTGTGGGAAATTCTCACGTTCTGTGTTCTTACACTAAGAAAAACCATTTGTGTTTATTGGTTATAATGCAAACATATTTTAGCAACTTGTCATATTGAACATTGTGTATTGTACTTCTGGAGTAATTACTAAGGTCAAAGTTCAACACATTCAATGATTCAAAGCATGGAACCATGATCATGTAGGAGAATAATGATCCCTTGGATGTAAAGCATTCTCCAATGCAACAATTACTATGTGTTGAGACCAAAGGGCCTCTCTGAAGAAAGATATGAAAGGATGAGACAAGTCCAGGGAAACATGGGGCAAGTTACTGCAAGGACCATGTTAAGACACTCTCTACCAAGGGCAGGTCCATAATGTCACTGGTAGATTATTTGCGTGTAATATACTATGTATATATAATCTTGTAATACCTTTTTATTGGACTAACAGAATTTGTAATGTCAAGCTTTCGTGAGAACCTCCCTTTCTCAAGTCTAAAGCATTTCTGAGTAAGACAACACATAGAATTCTAAGTTGTGTTGTGATATAGGGATTAAAGCGACATGTGCAGATAAGACACAGGTTTGATAGAAAATAGACACCATTCTCGCAGAGGGTCGTAAATATTTTGTGTGAAGATCACAGAGTGAGGGGGAGAGAGAGGGGGAAAAAAAACAAGCAAACAGTGCAGAAAATGGTGCTAGATGGGGAGAGCAAAAACTAAATAATTACTTATATTAAGAATGCATGAATTCCCATCCAAGAGTTACAGGATATGCATGAAGGCCTATATCCAGCATACACAGACACATATACAAGTAATACATATATCCACACACAAGCACCAATACATGTACTTACACATATTCGAGGTAAAGAGGGAAAGAGGGAAAGAGGGAAAGAGGGAAAGAGGGAAAGATTATATATTTGTTATATATTTATTTATTATTGTTTTGTTTTGTTTTTTTAATTCAAAATGTTGATCCTTTGAGAGAAAAATGAAATTATATTTTATAGTCAGAGATACTTACTTTCATGCAAAATAAAGCTCACATTCAAGTTCCATAGCCTGAAATCTCTGTAAGCTGACACGTTCAACTTATTAGAGAAAAAAAAAAAAGTGGAAATATTTCTCTTTTAAAATAACTGCAGTTAATTTTATGAAATGTGCCCTTTTAGTATTCATACATTATACACGTTAAAAACAATTGCTTAATTTCAGCTTGAAGCATTTATTTAAGAGCCACTAGCAGCCAATGAGCAAATACTAAAAACAAGGCAGAGCAAGGTTTACATAGAAACATAGAATGTGATGGCAGATAAGAACCATTCGGCCCATCTAGTCTGCCCAATTTTCTAAATACTTTCATTAGTCCCTGGCCTTATCTTATAGTTAGGATAGCCTTATGCCTATCCCACACATGCTTAAACTCCTTCACTGTGTTAACCTCTACCACTTCAGCTGGAAGGCTATTCCATGCATCCACTACCCTCTCAGTAAAGTAATACATCCTGATATTATTTTTAAACCTTTGTCCCTCTAATTTAAGACTATGTCCTCTTGTTGTGGTAGTTTTTCTTCCTTTAAATATAGTCTCCTCCTTTACTGTGTTGATTCCCTTTATGTATTTAAATGTTTCTATCATATCCCCCCTGTCTCGTCTTTCCTCCAAGCTATACTCCAAGCTTAACCATGTGGGACTTCCTAGCCAACTAGTTAAAAAACTGGGGGGGGGAGGGGGGGGGGGCAGTATGTCCTCAATATAATGATAGAGAGGTTTAATACTTCCCATGTGCCCCCTCCCACCATGTCAGGCAAGTACCATCTCTCATGAGGTTCAGAGGGGTCAATTAAAACAAACAAAAATTCAGAAAAGGCTTAATCACAAAGGGGTTAAATATTTATGGCTAGTATATTTTATGTGGTTGATGTAAAAGGTAATTTGCTACAATTCATATGTAGGGAGACTATCAATTGGCCTTTGCACAAAAAAAAACAAAAAACTAATTGTAATTTTGTTTAGCAAAAGACGTGGAAATTGAATCACTCACATAAACACAATGTACCAGTTGTTTTTTTTTTTTGGTCTAAAAATTACCTCTTAACGAGAAAATAATCAATAAACAATGAAATGTCACGTTCCGGAAAAGGGAATAACTCAGAGGTAGTAATGTGCTTTCCAAAAGGAACTAGTTATGAATAGATCTGGACGATAAAACTAATCGTTTCTCCTTGCCTGGACTCATAGATGGATAAGTGTGGGAAGGGTGTTGGGAGCTAAGGAACTTTTAGATAAATGGCGGTGGGTGGCTTCGTAGAGGCATAACAGTAAATTAATCAAGGCTTTGCTTATCATTAATGGTTGGGCTTAAGCTAGATGTTTAGAACTTTCTGGTCATGTATAAATGGCAATAATAATAATAATTGGTGGATATCCGGACTACCCTGTGATTTAAGTTGTAAACAATGATATGTGTGTTAGACAATGTGAACTAAAAAAAGCATTACCAATGCAATATTAAAGGCCTGATACAGCAAGTGTTTAATCCTTGGGAGGAAGTGAAACACATAGAGGGGCTTTGAGGGGGAAATGAGACACATGAAGTGGCTCTGGTGGGTCATGAGACACATGGAGGGGCTGGGAGGTAATGAGTCACATGGAGGAGCTGGTGGAGAATGAAACACACATGGAGGAGTGTCAAGGGGAAGGAAATGAGACACATGAAGGGGCTGGGAGGGAATGAGTCACATGGAGGGACTGAGGGGAATGAAACACATGGAGGAGCTGGTGCGAGGGAATGAGACACGTGGGGATCTGGGGGTGAGGGAATGAGACACATGAGGGGCCGTGGGAGAGGGAATGAGACACATGGAGGGGCTGGTGGGAAATGAGACACATGGAGGGGCTGGATGGATGAGACACCATGAAGGGCTAAGGGAATGGAATGAGTTCCCCCCCACGTGTCTCATCCTGGGGAGGGGATGAGACACGGGGGGGCCTGGGAATAGAGTAAGACACATGGAGGAACTGAGGGAAGAGAATGAGACACATAGGAGGAATTTGCGCCAGCAAATTCCATAGCGCTGTACAATGGGTCAATGGCATAGCAGGCTGATTTGGCTTCAAATGTTTTTTTTTATTTTGTTCATAATAAAGGCAGTCAGACAGCAAAATTACTTATGCAGTTTCACTTTTGCCTATGCAGAGTCTAAGGAAATCATCAGATGGCATTTTTATATTACCAAAAAAAATGCAAAAATGTTTACACCTAGCTAACCAATGTCAAACAACAATATGATGCATACTGAATATATTCAGAGTAAACATATTGCTTGTATCATATTACTAATAAGCCAAAGTGAGCAATATGTTGAAATGGCCATCAATCGGTGACACGTGGAAATGGGAAGTACACTGGGATGATCACACTGTGCAATTGTACAATGAACAATGATGCAGCCTAATGTATGCTATGAGTACTGATTGATTATTCAAGGTGCGTTTAAAAACAGGCTAATGCAGATTAAGCCGTTGCTAACATGAAATGCAGCGTGGGTTATTTAAGACCAATGTGGCATGGTTAATGGCAGTTACTGAAACAGCAGCAATACAACTTATGGAATATAAAACCAACTGAGTTGGTACTGAGCAATTAAGTTATGATAAAAATAAGATAAAGGTTGTATGTGAACATGAAAAATAACAGGGTAAGTAATGCATGTTCACGCAGTGAAGTGGCTCTGCAGATGTAAAGAGTGGCCAGTCCGCTCCCCGGGTGATGTTCAGAACTTGCCCTACCAGTAACTTACGATCACTGAGAACAAAATTGTGATCCAAACATAGATTCCTACTGCAGGTTATCATAATAGGTCTACGGTGAGCTCTAGAAATGTAAGCAACAATCCTAACTGCAATAACTTTCAGTACATCTATAAAATCATGTGTGGCCAAAAATATTGCAGATGTGTTCCATGCATACAAACTGTCATGATTACGTACATGTTTGCAGGCTCAGATTTAATATACAAAGAGAAAAGAAAAGGAAAAAAAAAGAAAATATATAAAGCAAATTTGATTGAAGTCTAACCCCCATCATCTTAGAGGCCTTGGCTGTGTTGGAACTCGTCCACAGTGTTCAGTGCTTTGGCCCCGCTTTCCTCCTCTGGGCCAATCCCAGTCTCCCCGTAGAGCTCTCAGTGGTGCAGTGGGCACTCTGGGGTCAAGCCAGTCCACCAAACCCCCCTCCAAAAGTCTATAGACCAACCGTCCCCTGCACCTCTCCAGTTCCCCTGAAGCATCAATTGTGCTGATGTCCCCTCATGTATCAACAGACTCTGACCACATTCTTGGGTCAGGGATGCATCCCCCATAGCCATCTGTCTGCCGCAGGGCAGTCCAACCCAGCTCCATTGGGCTCACAGCAGCGGAGACATTACACTTCAGGCCCCCAACTTAGCCCAGAGGTCGGAGGACCATCACTTCAGTCAGCGGGCGAACCGGAAGACACATCAGCAGGTCAGCAGCAACTCTGGGTTCAAATGCTGCAAGCGGCAGCTTTCAGGG